AAATGCGATTTTTGCTACTCTCTGATCTATTCCAAATAATTCCGCCAGTCAGCAAAATGCCCACTGGTTTACTAATCTAGACTGATAATCTGCAGCACGAAACAATTATAAATATAAGTAGCCCACGTAGGCGCTGTAGTGCAAAGTATAAGTGTAAAAATGCTTTGTCTTAGTTTCGGTATTTTATAAGGCTTTATAACAACCCCTTGATACCACTTCATTTCAAACTTCGCGTTTCGAGTTCTCCTACATCCTTGCATGACATTCAGGACACGGCTATAATGTTATGCCTATAGTAGCTTATTTGGTATATTATATAGGTATCTATATGTACATGCAAAAATAGAAGAGATCCATTAAAATGCAAGAAAGATGTAAGAATACAAGCACGGTCGATTAAAAAAGTCGTGCGTTTGAATGACTCCTTTTCGAGATGAGCTCAAACGAATTTAATACTTTGTATTGTATAAATTTGAATCTTATATTTGTTGGTAGTTAGAGCGATCAATACATGTCGAGTATTAATTGGCCATTTTTTTTTATAGATCTCTCTGCAATTTCCATTAGTGAACGATTTCTGTATTATGTTTCATCGACGTATCGACGGGCTCTAACAGACAGAATACGTCGGCTTATATGGACGATGCATGAGTTGGATGATGATCTAATAAATTCTGATATTTGCCAAATTTGTCAGCGCCTAACTGTCTAACCCAACATCGGATTGTTATTCCACCCGTGTGAAATTTCTGAAAAAATATCTTCAAGAGCTAAAATTCTATGGCTACAAGTACTTACCGGGCATACTGAAAACGTTTGTCTGCTTCTTTAGCTCAAACGCTTCGTACAAGGCCGCAGTGTGTACTGTTTTAGACAATATATGGTTCTACGCAGATAAATATATAAAAAAGATGTATGTTACAAGAATATGGAAAGATTTGCTTTTTGTATTACTAAGTTTGCGATAAATTCGGCATGCGGCAGAAAATGTTTCCTACGGGCCAAACAGTCCTGCCTCATAGACTACGGATGAAACGCTTCAACTGATCGGAGTCGCCTTCGATGCTTGTTTCGTATCAATCCTTAGTATGTTTAACGCAAATAGTTCAAAAATCGTAGTTTATTCCAGTCCTTGTTTTTGATAGAGCATTTACAATACCACAAATCAAAGCGGTTCCGAAATGTCGGCACGTGAAACACGATTTTGTTTATTAATTCGCGAGATTTTGCTAACCATGTAAACTACTACAATATTTGTATAAGTCAGTCTTGTGATAAAACAGCTTTCACCTACGGGGCAGGAATCAGTCGTAGTTTTTTAAACGGCAAAAGATGAAAGTCGTTACTTGCGCCCTACTTGCACTTTATTGGGGTCGACTTTCTCCAGGCGTACAGACATGCTTTCAACCCAACTTTGCAGGCCAGCATACGTCGAACACATGCGACACCTCCAAATTTTAAAATCGAGCTCACTTCTATTACGAAACAAGTTGTTGCCCTATGCTTTAGTATAGAAGAACGTTTTAAAATTGGCTACATGTCTCTATGACAGAGAGCGCCCCCTGGTGGAACCCGGAAAAGCGCAATCAATTTTGTACACAAGAAAATATGTTCTCAAAACTTTCCATAAATAAATAAATGGGTTAAACCTATGACGAACACCATCGAGTGCAATAGATTCGAGCGACGAGTCGACCTGGCTAATAATGGCAAATTGACCGGAACATTTTTTATATGAGTTTGTAAATTTGCTTATCTCAAATAATTATCGAATTGGGCTTTAGTATCATCAGTTCTATTGCGTCCTGATTTGTGGAGCTAATCGAGAATTTTTTCATTTAAGTAGACAACGCCGGTAGCGCATCACGTTAGCTGTTACCGTTGCGTAAAAAGATTTCTACATTTGTTATGAAATACTGTCGCTCTAGTAGAAGATCGGGCTTGCTAACAAACATCACTATTCCGACAACACGCATTAAAAGATGTATACACTTTTTATATATATATATATATGCGCGGTCAGACTAGTTTAGAATACGAAGCCTGACGTACTCTCCCCACTATCATTTGGGTCTTAAAAGGCCGACGCAATATCAACACTGCTAACAGATGCTCGCCAGAGCTGATCTATTCTCTTTCAAGCTTGTGTTTCTATCTCGTCTCGTCTCGTCTCGTCTCGTGCATGTTTTTATGACCTCTGGGTTCGTCTTTAGTTTTTTTATTATTTCGTTGTGCTTTTGTTCGCTTCAAAATCGGTCTATCTACAGCGGAGCACTTGCGAGGCTCGACGGCCGTTTAGGAATTCGTCCTTCATGTCAATGAATGAAATCTATGTTCTGTTTTATTTGGCGGCACGAAGTTAGCTTTTTCATTGTCTGCTAGCGGCGCAGGCTCCGCTGCAGCTGAGACGATGCCAGGTCGTCGATACGTTCGTTCGCTCTGCGCGTTCGTATTGGGAGCCGACTAACTGTGATCATGGACGCACGGACGTACTAGAAATAGATGATCACTCTATATTAATTAACATTTTACGATATTTAACAGGTATAGTGAACATAACGGCAACTCAACGCCTGTCATCGTGTCGTGGGATATTGACATTGTTTCTAGCATTGCAGGCTGTCTGGTATGCATTAGATAACTCCTTTAATTATCATTACCAAAGTAACTCGTCTAAAGGGAACAAACTAGGAAAATGAGGGTGGTGAGCCAGTATGGCCCAGTCAACTCGAACTGGCAGTGCTTTATAGAAGTGTCACTCAGCGAGGCAGTAAGGCCTCCTGCGAAGAGCAATGTTGATTGCGGTCTGGCTGACAGCGAGTGTGGGTTGTATGCACCTAGCTGGTAAATGCCGGGCGACTAGCGTTGCAGAAATTGAGTATGGGCACAACCAAAACGAGACGCTTACTATTACATAGCCACCAGTGAGAAAGCGCCGCTTTCATTTAATGATTAGAAAATGGAATTTTCTGAGGAAAGTAGCGAAAGGAAAGCAAAGATACGAAGGCTAAATTGAAATTGTGCACTACTATAGGCATTCATTTGAGGTAAACATAATGCAAATAGGAGCAGAGACGTACAAGCCGGCCATACTACTTTTTGTGGCAAAAAAAGTAAATATGAAAGTTATTTGGAGTATGCTCTGGAGGAATTTTTTTTTTATAAGAGAGCTCATTTTTGCATTGTACGCCTATAGTAATGTTGCTTTACATTTCATAAGTCAAATAAAAAGCTGAGCCTCAAATGTAAGTTTTCAGTCACATCAACAGCATTTTAAGATTATTTAATAGACACTCATTGTGTATTAAAACATGCAGTATTTTTACGATTTCCTATTATCTTTCTCTAGCTCGTTATGGAAACATTGCTTATATATATATAATAATGTAACTAATTAACCGACTAAGACGATAAGCACGGATAATATAATACACCCAACAAGAACAAAGTTTAGTGTGAATAGGTAAACGAGCAATCTGGGCATTCTATATAGTCCACTTTAGACGATTATGGCCAGCAACAGAACAGGTACATGCCCAAATCGTCCGATGGGGTTGTAATGATTAGCGCCTCGACGGATCTTTCGATATAAACAAGAATCTGCGTAGGCGCATGCCGGGGTGAAGAGATAAAAAAAATCGTTACATAAATATTACCTTCCTTTCTCATTATATCTGTAAGACATATTCATGTTATATTATACTGCCCGATGTATATGATTAGAGTCTACGTAGATATATTGGTTAGGTATTGTTGGAATACGTTAATTGCGAGGTACATATTAATGAAATTAGTATTTCCTATACATACGCTAGCCATTTTCTACTTTATTTTTAGCTTATAGCTTTGTTTATACTTAAATTACGAAAGAAAGACTTCTTCAAACGCAAACAATTGCACCTTTTATACGCTTCATGGTTAGGCAGTAGAAGAATCGGCTTTGAGCTCTACAATCTGAAAGATTTCAAAAGAATAGTGGGAATTATACATGTCGGGACTACGGGAAGATTCGAAGATTGCCGTACTCATTATAAGCCAGGCAAATATTTGGTATAAGAAAAGTGCAGAGGGGCAAGCTGATATATGTGTGATTAAGATCAACTTACAGACTTTAGTAATATAATTTTATACCGAAATACGAAGCAGATCTAGTTTTCTTGTAGCTGTGAGTGTCATTATTTTTAAAAGATTTTTGAAGACAACGTCTTGTATTGAAGGGCGAAGTGGAGCTGAAGCATAATGAGAACGTCCCAGTTTTAGTTCACTGCTGCTAAAAAAATGATTTCTTGATGACACGCTCTAAGGCCGAAAATGTATATATCTCTATGAAAGAGACTAATAATGTGACGGCTCATCAAGTAGCGTCAAAAACTCTAACGCTCAATTTAGAACTAGATGCCAGTTAACTTACTGGGTATATGGGCATTAATGGAGCGATGTATATGCATTGTTAAAGAAAAATAAGAGTATCAATTGCGTTACTTAGTAAGATCTGTCTACGATATAACAAACGTACATTTCCACCTTCGCCTTTTTATGCTTAAAACTGCAAAAAATATGCTGGTATTCGACCCAATGCCAAGAGCCGACACTCACTAGTTACACGACATGGAAAAGTTGTAATAGGTAAACAGCCGATTTTTAAAACAACCCGCTAGATCTCCTCTAAAAATGTGTACCTAACTAACACGCTGATTAGCTATTAGAAGGACAGCCTGAAAATACGTACTGCTATGCTTGTATGATCGTATATAATATGAGACGGTTACAATAAATTAGTTTTACCCAGTCTTCAGATTCATATTGTAAGCGAATGGAGTTTACGGCGCCTAAATTTGAATACTGGTCAAACTAGCCAGCAGCAATATTACAGCAATGTGGAAAACACCAGTCTATGCAGAACACGAGAGGAGGATACCTGTGGTTCCAAGATACCCAGGGTCTTCCTTCTGCTAGCCACAAGTACACAATCACGATGATAGCAGACGCCTACCACGATGCAGTTGGGGAACCCAGTGTTAAAGAGATAGTCCGAGAACGCCCAGTAGGTTTATGAGCGTTGCCTCTCCTGCTGGACGTGTGAGTGCGCCTTCGAAAAGCCTTTTTCTCTGACACAGCAACAGCTGCTCTTGATAAACTGATCGCTCCGCGCGTTCGTTCAACTGATCGATACCGTCCACTTCGAATTTACTAATCTGACGAGCGTATTCGTACAGTTGCTATTACTAATACTGTGTTTTTTGATTGAAAGGCTGTCCGGTGACAAGACTGGGATGCACTTAGGAAATGGTGTAGTCTATACTGAGAAGGGGTCTTCTCATAGAAAATGTGATGGCTGAATGGCCAGCATAACCCTGCTCTATTAAGCCGATTGGACGGTTGCTGCAAACGTGAGTAACGTTGGCCAGTTGAAGAATCTGCGAAACTTTTTTTTACGCTAAGTTAAAATGGTCGCCCTTAAACTGGAAGTATTCAGTGTGATCAGTTTAGCATTGGACTGCGTAAATCTAGCGCGCAGTTTGCCGAACGCACGTGCGAATTGAGGACTGTGTGTGGTGCCAGCATATATATGACTTCATTGTTAATGGGGCTGTTGAGGAGGTAATGAACGCTAAAAGCTACACAACAGAGCCAGTATGGTTGCCCATTTCCGACTGTGGGATCTGTTTTTGCTGATTAAATTGTGTTAGAACACTGTGAAAGTTTACGGCGTAAGAGGATGTGGTGTTGTTACAATGGCGTTCCGCGGCATCTCCTACGGTCTCAGCGCTGAAGTTGCTTGTAAGGTGGGGAGCGCTGTTCGGACAATTCAATGTCTCTATAGTCAAATTTTTAGGTAGACATCAAAAGTTGGTTGAACAGAAAGTAGGCCTTCGTACCTTTGTGTGGTAGAATGCACTCGTCCGTGCCAAAATGACTAAATACCTACCTTGAAATCTTGCTTAGCAAAATAAAGGGCAAACACCAGAATGTAAACCGCAGTGAGAAATCATAGATGATATTTTATAACAACAAAATGTACTGCTGCACTGTGCAAAGCGGAGTGTTTCGAGCACGAGCATTTTTCAAATTATCTCCCCCTTGGAAATCTATTTAGATGACATACTTAGGCTTACCGATGTTCAACTAGGGTAGAATAGATCTTTCTAATATAAAAATTTTGTAATTTATTAATATCGCTTTTGTTGGTGCTAATTACACTGTTTAAATATTAACTAGCGTTTATATATATGCGGCCGTGCACGTATAATCGTGCTAAGCGTAAACACCATTGGGTCTGGTGTAACTTTTTGGTTGGGGCTACAATAGATTTAAATAAATAAATTACTCGCCGGCTGTTTATGCATCAGATTACGCTCGAGTGTCTGTCACGTAAAAGGCCGTTAGCCCGACAAGTGATACTGTATTGTACAATGTATATACTACGGCGTATTTTATTCGCACCGGCATCTTTAATTTCATCTGATTGCCAATCAAACTCTGTGCCAATGACAGCTCATATGCCCAACCGCTTTCTGCCCATTCGGCGTAACCAATTACTTATCTGTTCAGGCCAAGAGATGAAGATTATATTCAGATCTAATGAGAGTTGAAGTACAATGGTTTTTCTTCGCTGACAGTTTGAATCAAGGGTTCACTGAGTGCGCATGCTGTGTTGGTCGTAGCATTTCATACTCAGTGATTTGCGTTTTGCTTCATTTGTAGTTCGGGAAGGTTCCTTTAAATAGGGTAAATTGTTTTTAGCCATTAGTATTTTGACCGCTACTTCGAAGAGGTATCATTGTACCATAGAAGGCGGCCAATTAATAACTAATCATCATTCTTCAGCAAGACAAGATAAACGATGACTAGTCTTCGCTTCAATGAGGGCATCGTTCAATCTTCAATGTGGCATATATACGAAAATAACGTGGCCAAGAGGTATAATGCTGGCTACGTCGGGTCCCAGGCCTGTAGATCCATATGTCACAATTTACTCATTCATAATTCAGAAGGATATTGTAACTGGGTGTGATGAGACACGTTTCTTCTGGGGCAGGTATCCAACATCAAGACGGCGGGTACATAGTTAGGACTGGAATAGTATTATGCAGCCTTTAATCAATAACATTTCTACCAGACATATATATGGTGCGTGCGAATTTGTTTTGTACCTTAATTTGAAGCAATTCAGTGTATGAACAGCTTATTTTTCTAGCACCATACTATGGAAATAGTAAAATTTCCGTCCGACGCTATTACAAAATATGCAGTAGTGATCCTTAAATGATTAAAAAATATATCATCTCTATGAATCCAGCGCAAACGAGTCAGAAAACGCTAAGGCACAATACCTTGCGATTGGTAGCTGTACAACTGGTAGATGAATGATTTCGTATTGCTCTGTTACCCTAAAGCAGAGCTACTTGCACTTTTTTTTTTATCAGGAACAGCGCAAATGATTCGCAACAGTAGGCCTTAACCAAGAATGAATTTATTAGAAAGCGAATAATTTGGGGCCTGAGGGCCCATGTCTATTGATATAAGCGTCTCATAAGACATTAAAGACATCAAAGAAATTTTTCCAGGTCTTCATTTTTCTACCCGTCAATAAGTATTACGATAAAAGAAAGTCCCAAAAGTGCAGAAATTAATTAGAAATTCGCGTATTGTTGGTAAGTGTGTAGTGATAAAGCACCACGGACGACTGAAATTTGTTAACTGCGATACAATAATTGCTTGGTGGCCCGTGTTGCTGTTCTAAACATATGAAAGAGATATCTATAACACTTTTACTCCGTTTCGAGCAAACTCCTCGGTGGTGAAAAATACCAGGTGGTCAGGATTTCTCTAAAGGCAATCGCGATTGTGTATTAGCTGACAGTTATAATAAACAATAAGCATAGTAATACAGGGTCGGCGTGCACTGACGGCCCAATTCCCATTCAGTTGGTGGGTGTACTGCGTCCGCTTAAGGTGATAGCTAGATGAATAGTCTTCTTTTCATAGTATGTTATAAGGATATAATATATATATTTTCTTAAAGCGTAGTCTATTGTTCCAGGTTATGGCTTTTGAAGCACTAAAGAGAACGGAGCCAATTTATATATATTCGCTAATGTCCGGAACGCAAACAAAGCGAAACTGATTCCTTGTAATTGATAGAAACTGTCAAGATACAAAAGCTACTTTTCTCGTTGTATTGGAAAATGTGTGGGGATGTTACATGGTTACACATGAGTGGGCCGCTACATATTGTTGGCCGAAGAAGCTGCTCAATTTATCTTTTAAGACGGTCTTTTTTATTTTCGTAAAAGTGCTTTCAGAAAGCATTGTCAGATCGTGTAAACGTTTTCCATTTATCTAACTACACCGCCTACAAATATAGGTAAAAGAAAATCTACTTTAAGCATTGAAGCTATTGAAATTTAAATGGGCGGCGAATATTGGAGCAGGCAGTGTCAGCCTACCCTAATTATCATCAAAATGTAAACATATCTTAAATCAAATTGTCCTTTGTAATTAAGACGTTTTGTGATTTTTGCCTATTCTTATCGGCGTATCAGACCACAGCTGCTACATGATACTAAGTGTTACGGGGGTAATGTATGGGGTTCCATGTTCGTAGAAGCTTTGTTCGTTAAGTGCATACCGCATGTTTGTATTAAAGGCTTTTAAAGGTTTGTGTAAAATAATCTTGCCGTGTACTCTACTGATTGCTGTTCATCATTTTATATTAATTGTTCGAACGACTATCGAGAAAATATCTACTTATTTTCGAAGCTAGATTTGCATTACTAAGATAACTTCACTGAGCTCTGCAAGCAGGGGAACTTATGCCGTCACGAGCTACCAGTTCAGTACCGAGAAGTATACGCTCGGAAGATCTCCAGCGTCTTAGAAAGATTCGTTATACTTTATAAAGAAAAAGTATGGTTTCAAAAAAGAGTCCCCAAGAAATCTAAAACGACCACATAGCAAATAAATTGCCGTATTATCTCCGTAAAGTTTCCTTGTTACTGATAAACATAATTGAAGATGCTCGTAAAAATAGATGTTGATTTGAGTGTATTAGGTAAAGTTCTATGACTATAGAGTTAATACCGTACGAAGCCTGATTGTATGGGCTTTTAAAGTAACCGCTAGCCGGATATGCAGTACATACCAGACAGCACCGATAAGTGTTTCGATATGTTCTAACGCATGTTCTCATGCATTGAACGTATTTATTGACGCCTAGCATAGCCAATTATCTTCCTCAACTTCAATAACCTATATAAAAATCGTGTTCAGCTTGACGTCAAAACTACACTTAGTCCTTAAACTTCTAATTTCAATGTTGTTGAGTGTTTGTACAAGTCTAATAGTCAAGACGACTGGCTTATAGTTCCACAAAGCCAACTTTGTCGTGGGCGATATGAAAACTAGTCTCTGTTATGATGACAATCTTGACAATTTCTTTTCTATAAACGTAGCTTCTTGATTAGAATCGCTAAAGGTATACACGCATTGGGCGACGTCACTCGAAAAAATTATAGTTTAAATGGAACGTAACTTAATTCGCGATGCTTTAGCAACGGGACCCTGTGCGTAGTTAAGCTTTGCAGCAGAACATGTACTATGCTTCGGTACTTTACGGCAGTCGCTACGTTTCATCCATTAACGATTTTACAATCACTATACATTCTTCGCCAGTTTCAATGTAAAATATGACCCAAAATGGCAATCACACCGAAACTAAGGCAATATCTCTCCACGTTATCAAGACAGATTGCATCGAAGCGCGATCCAGAGTTGGAGTCTCAAATCCTTCAATGGGCCGAAGACGTAATCGGAGAAGAACTGCCAAAAGGCCCCTATGAGGAGATCCTCCGAGATGGGATTATACTCTGCAAGTAAGTTCCGTGAAGGTCTATTTCAACAAACACAGCAAAAGCATAGAAATTTATTACTGTTTTCGTCCGCTATTTGCGCTCCGTAAGCAGACATTTTCCAGAGGCAGCAAACATTACTCCTTTACCTCGTATGTGATCTACTTTAGTTCGTTGAATATCGCAGGTGGCAATCGCCGATATCCTGAACGATGAATTGACGAAGAAATGTGCTTTCGATGGTACCTAGCTTTACATAGTATGTGAATGTATTGGTGATTTTGTCAATGGTTCATAGCTAACATTTTCAATGGTTGCGGTAATAAAATGGTTGTCTTTTGTATGAATAGGGGAGAAGTGATTTCATTTATCGTATGGATACGATTCTGCAGAAAAGTGCTAAAAAAAACCAATGATTGACAAAATGTTTGAATATCGCCCAGTTAAACCTACTATGATTGTGGCTGATGGTCTACGCAAAGGTCGTAGAATCTATGTTACTCCATAATATATTGGAAATAAGTCTTCGGACATCGCTTTCTTGTAGCTTTAACGCGCGATTGGATCACTTCTCATTCTGTATCCAGTCTTTATGCTCTTCTTCTCCCTCTATCCTTATATAGATTCGAGAAAAGTGAAGGACACTTTTTGCGCATATGTTTCTTATTCTTCTGCTATTGCACATATAAATATTATCGTCTTGTGTTCGAACGCAAAAAATGAACCCACAAGTGGTTTTCGTAAAGAATTATTGATTTTACGTTTTTAAATTTTATCAACTCATTAGCTGTGTTTTTAAGGAACGCGTTAGGAAACAAGAAACGTAATTAAGAAAAGCAATTTGCTTCAAGAAGTATTTATCTAAAAAGCTATATTTACAGAAAAGACTAGAAGGAATGTTGTACGCTAGGTTACCTTTCTGTCAAATTTCGCATAGAATTTATCAGTTCTTCGAGCATCTTGTAGATTTGCTCGATAGTAGCATTCGTCAAGTTCGTTTACTCCCCACAGTTTGTGTAGGTATACAATATATTGCAACTGACTATACTATTATACGTTACCAAACGCATTTATGCATGAGCATGTTAAAGTAGCTACCTGTAATTAGGCTAGATTGGCCGGAATTATATACAGGATGTTGGAATTTTTAACGAGCCGTTTATTAGCATGATATTGTGTAGTAGCCTCGACGAGTGCTACAGTTAACACGACTTCCTCTGGTATACCCCAATCCACATAGCCTAATCATCATATATATACATATACATATATCTATTCGTTTCTCTTATCGTTTGAGCGCCCAAAGCTGATACTTTCCTATATAGATTCTGCTAATGCTTTCGTGAACGATCTAACCTTAATTTAGTGAAATTTCTCCGTTTATTTCTGCCACCGTCTAATGATTGGCATTACAGTTCATGCCAATGCCGCCTTTTCTACCATATTTGTCAGATTTGATGCGACACTTTTGAAGACTTGCGCAAATCCTTATCAAATTTTTATAGAGTACAAACAAACATAGAATCCAAATATAAGTTATTGACTACTCAAAGGGCATATATCTGGCACTGCTAATATTAAAATGGCTCATAATTAAGCCTCAAATTAAACGAAAAGACAGTTAAGCATGTAAGGCAGTAAAGAATAGTAGCTCTTGCACTTTATCCAGCTGCACTAATGTTTGGTGCTGGTGTTCGCTATAAATGTTCTATCAGACCATATCAGAGACTATGTGAGGCGACTTTTAGAACTTTTATTGACAGTGCTCTGTTCTTTTGTTTAATCAATTGTATTTTGTTTGAAAATTTCGATTTTACAACAGAATTGGCTGCCTTTTTTTGGGCTTATACGTTTCAGGTTGATGAACGCAATCAGCCCCGGTAGTATTCCAAAATTCCATACGTCAGGTACGCACTTCAAGAAGATGGAGAACCTCACTAAGTTCACAGAGGCGTGTAAACGTTTTGGCGTCGACGAGATGGACGTGTTCCAGTCTGTCGACCTCTGGGAGCGGCGCAACATTCCCCAAGTATCCCAATGCATCCTTGCACTCGGCAGGGCAGTAAGTAAATGAACAACCATAGCTACCCTTAACGAGAGGTGAATTTACGCATGTATAAATAGTTAACTAGTTGTTTGCAGCGCTTGTTGATTTCGAGTAATGTTAGTTGATTGAAATTGTAACAGATGTAAAAAAAGGGGCTCGTATCGGCTTCTGACTAAGAAGAAATGCAAGATAAGATCAATTGATATTGGAACTTGGCATACATTTATTTATTGAGCACTCTTTACTTTTTGGGTGACAACTAATCAAAATGCTTGAAATCTACAGGTAATTTTTGTTACTGGAAAATGCATGATTTCGCGCTATCGCGAATGGCTACCTTTGTTGAAATAATCATTCCGTACAACTCTTGTGCGTGTCACCTGGTATTATCGATATATAGCGGGGAGTGGGGCCAAAGGGAACACTTTCTCTAGTTTCTCGAATTCATTAGAAATCGCTAACAACAATCTAGAACTATAATGCCTAAATTGTAGTTGGGACTATTTACAGTATGACTATGGGTGTCCTATAAGTCAGCCTTTTCTCTAACAATCAATATCTGTAAATGTGTCAAAATGTCCACTTTGTGAAAACAAATACCCCGGAGACTGGAAGAAAATGGATAGTGTAAAAATCTAGCTTAGCAAATTTTTGACAAACATTTGAGTTTTCGCTGCGTTAGCGTATCATTTATTTTATGACGACAAGAAATATTACAACACGAGTTGTTGGAACTAAAATTCTGTTTACTTTGTAGCCTTGTTTTTATTCATTGTTCATTTATATCAACCAATCGATTTTGCAACGAGTGAAGCACTTTATTTTCATCAGTTAAAAATTAGACGGACTGGAATTTGTTTGTGTGACCGGCCATACCACCCGAAAACGGCCTTCTTAGAGGACGTACGTACTCGAATAATACACACTTATATATCACGATCGTTCCCGATTACAAGGACAGGAAAAATACAAACGTGTCCTGCTGTGACCTAAACAACTTGTTCTCTAAACCAACCCATATATTTATTAAGGCGAATTCATGGAACTGTTCTAAAGATCAGGCAAGCCAGGATCCTTAAATTCATTGCATACATTGCAAATTTTAGCCACTTCCTCACTATCTTTACCAGTAATTTATTATAGATAAAAATAGAAAAAAAAAAAAATCCTGCAAAGCTCTCAATTTTGTAATTTTGAGACCTCTCTTTTAACGGGTCTAAGTAATTGTAAGGCAAATAAAATTCAAATTTGAATGAACCTTCTCTTTTGAAAATGATCAACTTTAATTTTCTACCTTTAAGCTGTACTTTATGTCATACAAAGGTTTCCCGACGAGGTACCTTCATTGAGTGCAAACTGTTATTCAGACAGATTGTACAAAAATTATACGCGATGTCACTTGTGGCCCCCGTCCACTTCGACTTCACTCTCTTCCATTAGCTATAGCATTTCTAACAACCAGTTACACGAACCGTGACTCAAGGCTGATTTCCAATGGAGAAAAAAGATTTACCTCATTAGGGAAGCTTTATTACCAAATACTCGGATGCTTCTAGAATTTGTGTTTTTCTTTAGGCGTCTATTCATTCCTGCAATTTTAGTTAACGGTTCCCGTTACATATTAAAAAACCGTCGTCTACCTATAGTTGGCCTATTTTATGATGTTATATTTTTGCGTCAAGACGCCCTGTAGTCTTAGGATTCCTCAAGAAATTCAACGCGTTTTTGTGCCGATCTCATTAAGAGGAAAGTTTCCCTAAATATCAAGGCATTTAGATCTAAGTGATGCTTGATAAAGGGGTTACACGTTATTATACTGTTCCTGCTCAAACTAAAGTGAGTTATAACCACTATTGAATTTATGTTTACATCTAGTAAAATTGTGTAACTGCGTTCACTAATAGGCACTAATCGTGCTCATAAGATGTGTAACTTAAAAAAAGATCATTTAATGAAAAATGTTGGATTATAAAAGCGTAGCACTTTCTGGCAAGCGCTCGCTCGCTCGCTCGCTCGCTATACACGAAAACAGAAACCGTCCACATATAATATATTGTCTTGATTAGCTCCGGCTCCAAAGGTTTGAAGGTATACGTTTCTTTAGATCTTTAGCTTTCGCTAATTTTTCTAACTACGGTCGGTCATCTAAAAGCAATTTTTACAGCTACTTGTCAGCTGTCCCGTCTACGACAGGCCTCGGTACGGTGTTTAGCATTGCCGCGAAAACCTGTCAGAGCCGCATGAGCAATTTGCTAGAAGCGCGTACGGAGACGGATTATTCATCACCTTTCTTTATGATTACATTTTTACTGCAAAAATCAAAGTATCCCCGCGCCCAGATTTGAACCTACAGTACCTCCCTATTTCTTAAGCTAATGGGCCGTTGAGCAAACAAACGTCACACCATTAACAGCTTGTCAAGTCAGGCTTGGGCTTCGCTTTGATCCTGAGTTAGCAGATATGCGTGCACTTTGTACCTCCAACATGTATCTACTTTCCGCTTCTGCCTTCATTACCGATCGATATAGTTTAACCTAACCTAACCTTTACATGTATTCTATGCCAACGTTGTGATACAAACGGTGTTGTATCGATATGATATGATATATCGAAATATCATGAGATCGATATTGTAGCAAGAGACAGGCCTACGATATTTGAGTTTTGGAAACGGAACTATAACAGTGACCAACCATCAACTACGAAGAGGCAGGCAAAATCACAACTTCAATGTGAATTAAACTTTATTGAGAGATTTGGTTCACCTTAAGACATTTGGAGCTTACGGCGCATTGTGCAACTGTGCAGCTGAGACTTGCTACAGCGACTGAATTGTTTAAGTAACAAGTGATAAATCATCTTGTCTACATTTGTCAGTCGAGATCTTAATTCTGCTGGACGTTCAAACCAGGTTCGTTTTTACCGTTTTACACTTTTTCAAACCAGATGTAAATAAGTGATAATGACGCGTTGAAGGCCCTTCAGGTCGCTAGAGACCTAGCAGCAGCTAGGTAGGCACCCGATCTTTTAATGGAGTTTCCTCCGCTGCGCTATATCTGTGTTTTCCAGACACTAAAAAACTACTCGGGTTAATTGATTTTGTATAAGAGTGGTTTAGTTGGTAAAAAATTTATTGCGGCATCGCAGCTTAATAGCCCATAGTGGCCATCTACTATCATGGCCTTAATTTAAATACAATTTTAGCCCCTAGAACTCGTAACAGCTTTGTTTTTAAAAAAAAAATAGTGTATGGTATATAGTTAGTATACACCATATCGTATGTCTAGCTTTAGAAGGTAACATTTGAATCAAATTTAATATTCTCTATGGTGAATTGCCTGACATCCGATACAGGGGCAGAACTGGCAGATGGCGGGCTGAAGCAGATGCCTAGCTGGTTTTCACTTATTTGTTATTTGAAAGCTAGATACTTCTTTGATGCATAAAAATCAACTGTAAAACCGAATTTAGTCTGTCGACCTAACATGTGTATGATGCCCCATTACGTGTAAATCACTATCGTTTTTATGTAATAATACAATTGCGATGCGCGCAATTTCCTATCAGGTCTGCATTATTGGGCCTCTTGGGCGACACATCCATAGACTCCAGTGGAAATCCCATGACGTTTAATGCCAAACAACAGCTGCTGCCGTTATATTTAGCTTATGTTGATGCCAGAATTTGTCAACGTAGCTTAGCTAAACATTTACTACATGACATCATTTCGTCCACTTTTCCCCTCGATAACATATTTTAGACAGTAAGGTTTAACACAGCCAATCTATAAGGCAGTTCCGAAGAATTCAACTTGATGTATATTAAGATGTTGTGAAACACGACATAAAGATAGGAAATAGTCACAAACGCTGGGAAAGAAGCGTCTACTTAATATAGTGTTGCAAATGTTTATCTAAGTTACATCACCATCCTCTCGTACGGAACTTGCGATAGATATTTATTCGGATCAGATATTTTTGAAAAAAAAAGTAATTTCCTTCCCGCGGTTTGTACGCATATAGTTACTTTGCCATTATTACTTCTTTAAAAATACTGATAATGTTATAAATAAAGCTAAATTTCGTTCGTAACTAGAAAAGGAAGCACCATTTTTTGCTTGCTACTAGCTAAGTAAAAGAAGAATTGATATAATATACATCCCAGGTGTTATAGATTTGTATGTGGGTTTTTGTCTATATGTCCTTTAGAGATAAAAACCATATTGCTATATGAAAGAGTAGTAGTAGTAGTAACCCCCATGTCACGGACTTCTACCTTGTACACTGTCAGTGCCGATGCGTGCTTGAAACATTTCCCTAGTTTTAATATCGCTTCGGTGAAAACTTACCTAAAATGAACTTTATGAGTTTTTCATATTCATTTCCAGCACTTGCCGTTTGCGTGGATAAAAGTATGTCATCTTCTGTTTCCAAATATAACCTATTACTGTTTTTACATTCTATGTATAAGGCCGTATTACGAACGCATAGGAGCGTAATGCCTCTCGGTGGTCATTCGCGTCGCTTTCGGCGCATTTAACTATAGACGATTAACATGAGCCGCTTCGTCAGGCAGCACTCTCGCGACGCGGCTAGGATCCATTCCGTTGTTTGCTTTACAATGCTATCGAGTGTTGCACAGGCCTTAAAAGAATAGGGTATATCGACTGTTGTAGTGCTTATTAACGATCTTCACTGTTATAGAGACCTTGTATAACTGCGGATTATCTACTCTATGGTACATCTGCGTCTGGCGTGCACTGATGATATCCGGAGCGCATGACCCACATGTTCTCCTATCGTCACAATAGAGCTGTCCATATTAGTATTACTTTAGACGTTTCTAGCCGATTTGTACACGAGCCTACCTCTATACTCTATAAAGCCTACCTCTATAATGCGCACGTATGGCTTATAGATTGTTCCCTAGAAACAACGAGTGGCATATCGTTATTATTCCCAACTGTAGTTGGCAGATGGGCTTACTGCAGTATAAACTAACGTATGCATATATTACACGAACGGCTAAAACATTCATAAAAAATCACGCACCCGTCATTGGTACTGCATAGAGAGCTTTGAGTTGGGTTAAATCATTCTTTAAAGATAACCTAACATTAACATCTGCTTTCAACTAAGCTTAAAACCATTTCCAAAACAATTTACGTGTTCGAAATCTGTGGGCTATGTAAGAAGAATACAGTCACCCAGCCCATGTGGATACTTGATAAGCGACTTTTTGTTTATACAGACCGGCCAGACCCGAAGTTCTGTAGGGACATATCCTGTATCAAGTAGAAAATGTAATGGCAGATTAAACCCAAAGGTAGATCTTTAATGGTTAGTCAAGTCGTAGGAAAATGTAGCCTGAAAATTTAACAAGACGTATATGCAGTCCCACGACACTCAACTAGGCTGGGTATAGATTTTTCTAAGTGATACCATTTTCTGCATAAATGAGCAGGCTTGAAAATAAAACGTGTCTACTAAAACGCTGTGGTAACACCTAATAAAATTAACTACAAAAGAACGAGAGGCTTCTGATTGCTCATGAAAATATATAACCCAATAGCTTTCAAATAGAAAACCATTTGTATTAAAATGAAGGTAAATTGATTCAATGAATGGCAACTAGTGATGTAACTGCAGTACGCACCGCTATTTTAAATTATTTATTGTATGTTTCAGTGTTATCTTCATCCGGAATACACAGGACCTTGCCTAGGTCCGAAACCAGCCGAAAAGCAAGTACGGCAGTTTACAGAGGAACAGTTACGGGCTGGCCAGGGGGTCATCAATCTACAATACGGAACTAATAGGGGAGCTAATCAATCTGGACAAAACTTCGGCCTAACTCGGCACATGTGACTCGACCACATACATATTGCTTCGTGCGTACGGACACCATTTGTATCAATGACTTTCCGTAGATGCAAGTCTCAACTTCCCATAGCAATGACGACGACATGATTAGCGATTCTGGAGTTCTTTATGGCATTTACGAATGTTGCATGACATTTTACTTTGTCGTCGATTCTATTTGTGCGCTAAAACGCTATCTTAGAAGATACGTGAAATTCGCTGATCAAAGCAATTCCATGGTGGACAGATTTGGCCCGGGTTAACGTTCTACTTACTTGGTTTAGCCAATCGTCTGACGGCTGATGGGCCGAATTTGCGCCTCTTCAGAAATCGATGATCTGGGTATTCGTCCCATACTGTGTGATGATTGACACTGTGCAAATACAAGAAAAGTATAATTAACAATCTAATGGCTGTTCATTGTTTTCGAATCAGGCACAGATTTCTTACGAAATTGTTTCTACACACGGAGTGAGAGAATGGCTCGATTTGAAAGCTAGCATAAACTGCCTGCTTACCTGTATCAGGTAGGCAGCGTTCGTACGTGACTGGCTTGAACAGTACGAGGTCTATTGTGCGATATTATCTAAATGGTAACGAAAACAACGAGTTTCCTCTATATTCAACCTTTTGGGCTTTGCTATTTCGTGTCTACATTGTTTCCAGACAAAAGGAGCAGGATCATTTACGCTTCGACTTCGGGTTAACTCAGTGAAACAGAATTCCAACCTAGTAACAAAAATGTTTTTTTTCGAATTTTTTGCTAAGCAGAGGGACGGAAGTACTTAGAAAACCATTATTGTATCATATAAGGAAAGCCAGCTATAAATCAACCGAAGATACGCAGTGCAGATGGGCAAATTGCCTCGAGTGGATAGGAAGCGCCAGTGTAAATAAGAATGGCCCAAGTTATTCAGTTCAAGTGATATATATCATATACCTTCTTAATGCCCTCCGTCATCTGACGGGACTCGTTACGTAGGGCTTCTAAAAGCTAGCTAAACAGACTCTACAGTTAGACATATTTAAAGATTTTCATGTAGAAATGCTTAAGTCCCTCTCAATATACGCTGTCGCTCTAAAACTGCAAAGGCAAGATCTGCGAAGTTCAGTTGGCAATGCGGGTTGCGTCCATCGGCAACGTAAACGAATTTCATTATTCATATTTGATAAGAGAAAAAGGTCGACTATTGTTACTTTAACCAAATCGGACCTGAACCCTGTTGCCTTTTATCTAGATATTTCAGTAATCCCTAGGTATTTCCATCGCTATTACTATGTGAAGATAAGGTGTAAAAAATACACGCGGTCGTCAACCAAATAGACTTGAATCCAACAAAATAGTATCAACTACCAGCACCAATTGCGTAGCACTATGGCGGGGTATTTTCGTACGCTTTTGGGTTATGACAGCGGTATTGTTCTGCTTTACACTGGTGGCCTACACGCTGATATAGACACCAACAAGCATTTTCATTAAAACTGATAGACCCAATTCAACGATCGTAGGCGCCATAGTCGGCGGAAGTCGGATTTCAGCGAGTCGGGCATCCGTACTTAGTGCCAATACATCGTACTTATGTATGGCAGGCGCGTTCTGTCCCATAATCTAACATGATTATTGCCGGCACTGAACAACTAACTGTTTAAGCAAGCTCGATTGGTTCGAGTATTTGTAGGCGATTTTTCGTATATGTAAAATGTCGAAACAGAAAAAGGAACGCACACAGAAAATACCGACTAGCATATTAGTGTATAACCGTAACTCCTGACGTGTATAACGTTTCTTAGCACATAGAGCCGTCAACGTTGCCAGGACGCTGCGGAACACCATCATGTAAAATTGGATACCCGATCGAAAAGGGTATACTATGAAGCGGGAAAATTATGCGGAGATTATTTACGAACTTCAGAGAAATACGTTTAACTCGTATAATATTCTCCGTAGCAGGTTAAACGGCCGTGGACTTGTGTCAAAAATTACCCTTCGCCGCCCACTCAAAGGAACGGGGTTTAAGGGCAGCAGACCTGCCAAAAAAGCTCGAATTGTTGTCGAGTTGAATGCTCGAATGAAATGAGCCCGTCTTTATTAGGCGAACCAAGTGCGAACGATTTTCTAGGAATTGCGGCGTGCCAAAAGTCAACCATCCGTCAAAGAATATGATGTGGCCAGTAGTTTCCATTAAAGGTACTGAGATAATACATTTCGTACAAAGAATACTACAGTAGCAGAAACATACTAATGTTATCGAGGACAAGATGCTGTCTCAGGTGTGGAAATGATTTCCTTACGTTGATACCTTTTCATGTACTAAACGGCGTCTTATCAAAACTTATCGAACTATCTCTAGCCAATGACGCTTGGGTTTTGTCGTAGCCTACTAATTCGGCTGACGTTGATCTCATAGAAAACGTTTGTAAATCGTAAAATCACAAGTTCCGGAAGAGCAGGAAGCAAAGCGTTCCAGATCTCGCTGAATATTCCTAGTTGGATCTCATTAAAACCGCTATTAGAGTCATGCACTAAAGGATGCCGACAGTTATCGCTGCAAAAGGCAGTGCCACAAAGTACTGATTCTACTACATCGTCTGCCAGCAGCCAGAAAATATTTTCCTATTTGTTTATCGACATATAGAGTACCAGTGTAAGACAGAATAATGCCGCCTTTGCAAGTCGAAACGGTTTGAAAGCATCTTGCTTTGGTGTTGCGCAAGCGCCGTTGAAAGTTGAAACTATGTGATCAAGTTTATTTGAGTTTGCTTGAATGAGAACTTACTGTAAAGTGCATTTGTGCCAACGCTCGAGTGTGATTACGAAGTCGGTGGCAGCTAGGGGAGAGCGAATCGCTCGGGTCAAAGATCTAGTTAAATCGAGGATAAACGAGGAGACGTTCCGGGGTACGTACTCGTTAATGAGCTCCTGTTTTGAGTTGAAGGGAACACAGCGTTGTTGCGGACTGCGCGATCCTATGCCGAAGCTGTGATCTTGTTTTGTCACACGGGCCAAATGCAGGAACCAAAAAGACTGTACAGTGCATACTGAAGCGCTTCTATATCTCAGTATTAATGTGGCCGAAGTCTAAAGCTTAGGGAACCGACGTCTGCTCCCATTTCAAGATTGATACAAAAAAGATACAACCGATTGGTTGTAGAGAGCACCGAGATGCGTACGTTCAAGTGTCAATGTGTATGGTCGCAGTGGTCGAAAGGAAAGGTTCTTTTTTAAGGAAAACCTAATCCGGAGCGTGGACAGTCTTAGGTTGCATGCTGGGACATATACGTAAGGCGCGGCCGATCGATACGGCGCCTACAATTAATTTCTCAAGTCCTGAGAATTTCCGTCGCCAATGCTATTTGAGGACGAGGTGCAAATGCAAATAAATTGCATTCGTGCGGGTACTAATGTATGGTTGTTACAACATATGCAAAAATTTCCGTGCTACAAAAATGAAAGCTTTTATTGGATATCCATGTTTTAGCCGGATTTAAACTACCTAAACTATACTTTTTACGTGGCTGTGACCTAAAAATGTTTGGGCTATTTTAGTCAAAAAAAAAAACGCCAATTGAATGCGCTACTAAAAACTATATATATAATTGAAAATCTTAACCTATGCATGGGCAAAAGCTTCCGACAATATCTATGCAGAAAAAGAGATTGCGTGTCACAATGTCGGCCCGTCTTAGCCCAAACAAGGGTGAATGAGGCAATGGACAGGACGTTGCCAAAGGATAGCACGAAGTAATGAGTAGTCTCACAACACGTTACCCCAAATCCCATCGTAAAGCATCTCAGACTCAGATGTATTCTCTAATTAATTAAAATTATGCTATGTCAAGCTACGTCACGATCAGCACGCAAAAGAAACACCCTATGAATAATTTTATTAAAATAAAGGTCATCAGCTCGATCGGTTGAATTACGCAGTCATATCAGATTAGGATAGCGAACCCAACGATTTAAATTCATTGACGGCTATTAGAGGTGGTCATCTGCAACGTGGCAGTAGTGCTAACCCATTAGAAATGGTCATATATCGTGCGAAACCGACAAAAATCGGTGCGTTTACAAAAATCACCATGCGATTTTCGAAATTAAGTTCTACAATCATATTTTCTTGATATCCTTTGTGAGGAAATTGTAAAACTTGTATGTTCACACGGAGATACATATGCGTATTGATTGCAGCTGATCTTTATTTCAGCTGATGATAAAAAGGGTATCGTAGCTTTCCAGAGTGTAGCGTAGATTCTAATTAATGGCATTTTGTCATTCTGGAGCCAAGAAATGATGATTTGAAGTAAAATGACTTACACCAACGTATAATACGCTTATGCATTGTAAGATAATACCTAAAGTTACGTTACCCATAAACCTTGTTCAGTTATTCATCTTCACTCCGTTGTCTTGCTTTTTATCCAAGACGCATTGACAACAGTCAGTCTCAGCCTTCAGAGAAGAGAACTTGCTTTTCCTTTTAACCAGTGTCGATTGGTTGTTGTTTAGTATAAATTAGTAACAAATTACGCCTAACTGTCAGTTTCGCTCGAGGTAAAAGCATCTCTCGTGCAAATTTATATTAAACAACGTATACTCATAATTCAATGCAGAGTTCTGAGGCAGAAATTACCAACCAGAGATGCTTTCTGAACTCTAGCAGGGGGTTTAATCGCCGCTAGATGCTGCTTCAATAATCCTCGTATTCGCGAACAAAAAAAAGAGTTTATTTGTGCTCCCTTACATTCAAGTACTTGGTGCAACTTGCCAGTAGACAACAGATACTATCCACATAGGCAAAGCAAAGCACAAGAGAGGGGATCGCTTGCCATCATCTGCTTGACTAGAAATGACCATGTCTCTATATCAGGTGCATGTCAGCTAAGATACGGGTAGCAGGAAAACGATTTCAGTGCATATTGCAGCTAAATCCCTCTTTCCGATAGACGTCCATCTGGCTACCGCTAACAAGATAACGCCGTTAGGCAAGTCCCGTTCCTTGCCGCATTCGCCGAAGCCATTCACTGCACCGCATTCGGTGTCTCCCTTGTAATAACAGCATGAAAGAAATGGCTCGTGCAAATACCCCCATCATCTGTACAACCCTAACAGTCGTCTACTCTTTCGTTTTACCTTGTGAACTCACGGCCTATTTTCAGTATTCGTAGTCCATTCGTACTAGTATTTCGTAGCGTCAAAGGATTTCGTAGGCAGCCCGAGTAGTGTGATAACAGAAGAGAGCTATGCAGGGTTAAGTTGCAGATGGAAACGTCGTCACCAGTAGAATCAGCGGACTAGAGTATACTTTTGGTCGAGATGGGTGGTGCTTTTCTATTAAAGTCAGCGACTGGTCTTTTGCGATAGAAAAATGATA